ATATATTAGAAACCGAAGCCGCTCAGTAACTGAACATTCCAGGCTTTGCCACAACTGAGCAGATTGTCTGTAGGCTATTAGTAAGTTCAGCAACTTGAAAATTGGTTTGACTAATTTGAAGTTACTTTTTTAGGTTCCAGCTTCCTCGCCTTGCTTGCTGGTAGGAATGTACAACTGAAAAAAGAGAGACTTTAAGCTAGTTCATAAATTAATCGTACCGATACTTTAACTACAAACCTGAAGAACATTCAAGCGCAACTGGTCAAATTAAACGGTTGTTTTATAGGCCTACTTATTGCAAATTCCTTCGCAGCCATTTTGACGTGAAATGTACCCGGGAAAATATTTCTAAAAGTGATTTATTGTGTTTATTTTCCAACACGTATACAGTGTGTCACATTATTTTGAGAACATGAACAATTGATGTAAATAATTGTGGTTTATTATTAGTTTGGTAATGTGAATGCTATTAAAACGAAACGGTTTTAAGCCACCCCTGTATAGAGCCACTCAACGACTGTGCCATTTGTAAGATACACAATGGGTTGTTTGTCTTGATTTATCTTGCTCAAAAAATATGATTAGACTGCTAGGAGTTTTTTTTGTATTAGACCTATAGTACAATTGTGTAATATGAATTGGAAATTGGGAGTAGCCTTGATAAGCTTAAACGTAGCTGATCATAAATTTTCCTGAAATGTATATAATTTTAGGCTCATATTTCCCACAGTGCTTGTCAATAAATTAAAATAATTTCATTTACTACTGAATAGTAAATATTGTAAATAATTGTCATACCAATAAACCAAATATTATATCTTATTTATGTTAAATAAATATATTACTGTAGTAAACAAATATATATAAATAACATAATATAAATATAATATATAAATTAATATATTTATATATATAAATATATATATATATATATATTTATTTATTTATTTATTTTGTTCAATTTTTGTGATATTATTTGTCATTTTTATTAAAGAAGAAGGTGAAATAATTTTAATAGATTAAATAAAAAGGTTTGGTGAAAAAATGTGGTTTAAAAACCTTCCAATAAAAAATTATGGTAGAGTGCTATATTTGAATTTTAGAGAACAGTAAATAATTGTCTGGATGATCATCAAAACGGAAAGTTACAAAGGCAGAAATAATATCTCGTATCTTGGTATAATGGAAATGGTTATGTTATATCTAATATATTATTATTCATCATAATTATATTGATATCATTGTATCACGTATAAATATAATGTGATTTATCATAATTATGAACTTGTGATAAATAGGCCTATGTCTACGAGAGCTCTATTAGCCCCTAATATTCAGCAACTTACATGACTCAACAGAACCGATGGTTACGAAGAGCGTAACGATGATCTTAATCTCCATTTTGGTTTTCGAATCGAATCTTAAATCTAAGGAGAAAACAAATAAAGCAAGCTATCGTTATGATTCCATAATACATTAAAACAAATTTAAACGAGCTCACTTGTTTCATATAGGCTAGTATGAATACTACAACTGTATTGTGGTTCATATCAGCTCATTCAGTCCCATTTTGTACGTATCTGACAATCAATAAAACAAGTATACCAACCGTAAATGCAACAGTCCTTCCATTACCACATTATGATGAACGGCCAAATACTATGTAATGGCCTATGCCTAATTTGGGTTCCAATATGTACGCAACTAAAAACATTTACGCAGTTGTGGTCTCTTACATAAAAAAAGGAAGAGGTTATTCGCACGGTACCGTGCGAATTAGAAATAAGAACTTATTCGCACGGTATGACAGCTGTTACGTCATGAAACCTTAAATGCTGATTGGCTAGGTCTACCGTGCGAATAAGACTCATAAGAGCTAATTCGCAGGGTACCGTGCGAATTGTCGAAAAAATTGATTCGCACGGTAGAATGTTGTAGATAGAAATACTGTATAATTATTTCACGGCATACCGTATGAGTTGGGCACAGCACAGACAGTCGATTCGATAACCCTAACTGAAGTGCAATAGGTCCTAGCTTAGCATTGTGTCTGCAGACCTTTTACTCTTTTCTTAGGCTTTCCTTGAGAAATTTCCATTAAAAAAGCCCTTGTGGAGTATGTACTGGTGGTATTATAGTCCCCTATCATAGGGCCTAGTAGTGATATTGATTTTTGTTCCATTCAAAAATATTAAATGGGGAAACAAAAGAAAATTAATTACTTAGCACCAACCATGATGGGAATTGGAACAGAAGAGGATGAGAGGATGCCAAACTGATGCAAAATTACTCGATTTTATGTGCAATTTTAATAGGGTTTTAATTTTGTGGGCTGCAGACGTGCTGCTCTTAGCCCACCTGTAGACTCGCACATCTCTAAAAGTCTCTTCATGAAATGAAAGAATAACATTTTTTTTTAAATTTTAAATATATTTTATATATATATAAATATACATACACACATACCTATATATAGGCCTATATACATGTTTCTATATAGGCCTATATATGCATACATATATAGGCCTATATATATG